GTGTGTGTGTGTGTGTGTGTGTGTGTGTGTGTGTGTAGAAGTTCGTACGTTGTCTGATCCCGACAGTGAGGAGACGGAGGAGGCTGACGAGTGCTGGTGGGGGCTGGAGATGGACATGGGGGAGTCTGCGCTTTGGGGCGACACTGAGTCCCTCTGCTGCTCATCCGACCCTACACCGCTGTCACTCAGCACACAGCTGGGCTCCTGCTCCGACACGGGCTCCTTGGGAGGTGAAACTAGAAGGGAACAAACGAGAGGTTAGATCCTTTACAGGACACATTAAATAAGATCACTAATCAAAAAGTGTACCAGGTTTATTTCAATGTTTTTACATGAGCTGTAGACTATAATCTAACGTTTTAAATAAGACTCTTGTTTCTGGAGATATTTAATGAAGTTGTTGCATAATATATAAATAAAACAGTTAATAGAGGCAGGCATTTTCTACAGAATAAAGTAATCATTGTTTTTTCAGTCTGTTCCCACAACCTTGGTCTCAAGACATTATCAATGCACTTTTTAAATCGAAGAACGGTACCTCTGTTGTCTGTCCGTGCCAGATCTCTGCCCCCCCACTTCTTAATGATCCATTCCCTGTAGTCGATCACTTCCTGGGTCAACCTGATTATCCTGCCCAAGGTGCTGCAGGAAGAAGAGAGACGGGTTAGGGGGCACCAGCTTTGTCTACACTATATTTAGTACTCTTGAATGGACTGCATTCTTACCTTTCACACTCTTTGTTGGGATACGACCGTGCGAGTGGCGACACAGCATGGCTCAGGACAGTGTAGGCGTAGTCAAACACCTGCTTGACGTGCATGGCACCATAGGAACCCCTCCCAACGTCGTTACCTTCATGGTGACAAGACAAATTGTTAGAATATGAAATTAGACAAAGCACATTGGAAACACAAATTCCTATTACGAGAAGGATTAGGCAAAACTTTGAGTAAAAACTTGATGATAACATGGCTGCAGATATCTATACAATGCAGCAATGGAGTAAAACAAGTAAGATATCTCTAATGTTATTGAGTTTAAAGTTATTAAACTGTGACAGGACAAATTAGAAAATCTTCCAAGTTTGTTTTTTATTTAGGAGGATTACGTGTTTTACATATCCAAATAAAAATCTGGATCTAATGAATGTTTCATATAGGAACTGCTGGGCCCTGGTAGAGGTATGCACTCTTCGTAAGCCATTTATTAGCTTGTAAAATACAGTGAGGCAATGGAGGTGAAGTGTGCCACGCATGTGCAAGTACTAGTTCAGTCACTGTGTATGGTTGCTGCCTACCACCATGCCATTCTTCATACCACCACTAGATGGTGACAAAATAGGAAACGTTTAAAATAATTTTTTATAAATCTGCCTTTTGTTTCAATCATTTTACCTTTCAGAACAATGAATAAAATTCAAGAGAGACTGCAATACTGTCTTTTGTACCTCAATTTTTGGTTGAATAAACGGTTTAAACAAGTGGCCATAACTTTAGTTGATACATTAGTATTCAATGAAAACTGGTGGGAAACACACCTGGAAGCAGTGGGTCCTCTATGCAGAGCATGGATGGCCTGTATCCATTTGTCATGGCCTTCATGATCTCCTCTTTGGGTATATATGCGCCTCCATTTTTGATGCGGATCCCTGTTTTCAAGTAGTTGAAATGGCGGCCGTACAACTCAAAGAACTCGATCAGCAAGACCCCCAAGTTCTCATTTGGGTTCCTGGCATCAATACGAGGATGAAGCTGAGGAGAAAGGACGAGGATTTTTGATTATTGTGTATTAAAAACAAGTATACTCATGATTGTAATCCGTGTCTCTATACAACACCAAATTCAATAATAAATGTGGTTTACTAGAACAAATCTTATGCTGCTGTGACTACTAAACTACAATACTGCTACTGATTAAACTCCCAGGAATTCTGTGTAAAACGTTCTGCTGCCACAATATATAAAAGGGCTCCTTCTCTCACAACACACGTCCCCATCAGTGGCTGTGTTTCTGTACCTGGAGGAAGCTGATGACCATGAGGATCAGGCTGTAAGAGCTGATGCCCCCAGTGAAGACTTCGTTCAGATCTCTTTGCAGCAGAAACTGCTTGAGTACAAAGATCAGGTAAGGCAGCACTGGATACTTCTGAAAGTAGAAGAGGAGGTAAACGTGGAATTAGAAAATGAAAAAGAAGATTTACAAATATGCACAAATGCGTTTTTACAAATGCATGTTCGAATCCACAATTCTTCGGTACAGATTTTTAACTTAAACTTCACAGATTCAAACAGCTTCCTGTGTGTTCAAATGTTTCCAATTAGTTGTGACATTCTTTGTGTTTATTTGCAGATCAGAGTGACACAGGTAAATCTACTTAACAGCATTATTTGAAACAATAGGTGTTATTCCATCATCACAAGATATGTATTGTTTTTATTTATTGCAGAGCCATATGCCAAGAAATGAAAAACTCTCTGCTGAGGCCATGGTTACTGCTGACAACAGGGATTCTATGCTTTTGTGCGTTTTCTGTGGCAGTTGAATAATCATAATCACTGCAGTGTATAAACTGTTACACACATACTGTCTAGCCTCCAGCTGGGCCAAACTTTCTAGGGAAGATAGTAAATGAGGCTTCCCTGAATCTGACTTGATAATGTGCTGAAAACCCAGAGGGCCTGGAAATGGGAATTACAAATATGTTCATTTTCCAACTGAAAAAGCAGCAGAACCTCCTGGCAGCATGTGTGTGCATATCTGAGCCGGTGGAGCAGCGGAGCTTGTTTGACATTTCAAATATGCTTTTAAGAAGTGACAACAAGCCTGGCAGGTATAGGCTGATCCAACTGGCTGCATGGGAACCTGACCTATGAAAATTGACTCGGAGGTGACCCCTAAATGACAAGACTGCACTGGAGTGCATTGAATCCACGCATTAACAACGCCAACTATCACTGGATTGATGCTGAGTGCGGCTGTCAAGAGCAGTGTTTCAAGTTGCAGCATGTATTCCCAGAAAGCCATAACACAACTATGCAACAACAACAAAGGACAAAAGCCAAGACCTGACAGATCGCTGGATAGCACCTGGAATTCCTCTCTTGCATTAACAACAACTACTACCGTGACTAAAGAGATTAGGCAGAGATCCACCTTCAGCAGGAATTCAGTCTGAGCCACAGGGCGAAAATTCACCTCTTCTCAGTAGATTTGGACGCAAAGTCTGCACAGACTGTTTGAGTTAAGTAGAGAGTATACGGAGCATGGTAGCTGGGGTCTGTTCCAGCTTCAGTCTGGAAATGAGATGAGCCAGTACAAGATTGGACTGAAGTTTCGCGTAATGCTTTAAAATGCTGGCTTGCCTGATTCGCAGAGGGAATTTCCAAGGTTCTGTTTTTAGACCCCAATGTAAAATGGTAATTATGTGACTCCTCTGGTGGATTTATTTTTTTATTGAAATACGTCTGCATGACCTTTTTTCTGCTCTTGTTCTGGCTGGTTTTGTGCACATTTCAATTCACAATACTTCACAAAACATGTATTTCTGTGTGTAATTTGTTGCCCCCCGATTTAACAATGAAGACACGCAGCCTGTGGATCTTCATAATGAGAGCTTAATTCAGAGGCAGATGTTGTCTCTCACCTTTACGTAGTCTTTAATGAAGCTCGCCGCCCTCACCCCAGTCTCCACATTGAAACTGATGTCCACCTTCACCTCAGTTTCCTGGTCTGTCAGCTTGATGATTGGCACCTGCAAGAAGACAGAAGTTATTTTAAGACATGAACTCCAAAGAATGTTCGGGGGAAATATCCACAGCAACTGACTCAGACATTTGCGTTCTCACATACAACCCGTTTATATAATTTTAGGAGATTAGCTGGAGTTCAGTGCATGTCTCAGCTCAAGTGACTCGTATTAGCAAACATTTACAGTCATTTATTATCCAACAAGACACAGCCTCTCAGGTGGAAGAGCCAATTCTAAAAATGACAAATCAGCCGAATGTTTAGAAGAAGTTTACAATGAGAGTTAGTTAGATATTTGACCTGGGCTACACACTTCAGTGTCCATATCAAAGTGGTGTGAATTGGACAGAAAACTATACATTCTCCGTTTATCAGGAAAAAAAAGGACCATTAGGTTAGTGCACCTCATCTTTGCACAAAGATAAAAGAGTGACTTTTAACTGACTGTTTAGAGTTTACACCAATTTACACCAAAAGACTGAAATCAACCTTCAAACAATTCTTTTATTCAGACCATTAATCAACAAGTCCAAAAAAAGGAATTGTTATTTCATCGACTCATTTAGATCGGATGCGACGTGAGCGTGTGTGTACCTTTAAGACTAAGTGCAAGGTTTGTATAGTTCTTCCTTTGGAGCCGGATGAGACACGTTTCATTCCGAATGTCATTGTTTTCAAGACAAGTGATGGATGAAATACATTGTGATTTGCTGAAATGTGGTTTGCTTGTTGGAGCTCTAAGCTGCTGATGATCTAAGCGAGGGGAGCGATATTAAAGCAGATTACAGCAGTGCTTCATTGACAAAATAACAAACTAACAATGAAGAACTCTCAGAACCAAAGGATGTTCCTGCTCACCCACTGACCAAGGCTCAGGCTTTAAAACCCTCAGTTTTAGGTGGTTGTTCCCAGCAATGCTTAGGCTTTAGAGTGGGATTTTATTCAGCACCTTAGGTCTCTTAATACATTGTGTTAAATGGATATCTCTAATTTCAAACCTGTTTGGCTTCATTTCAGGACATAGTGTGAACGTAGGATGACACAATGCACAGAAGAGTTGAGACACGTGGCCTGAATCCTGTGACTTACTGTAGCCTTGTCCAGCACTTTGATGGAAAAGGGTTCTGCCACATTATGTTTGCGAAGAGCTTGCTCTAGCTCTTGCAGGGGGGGGCGCTCCCACTTCCCAAACACCACCAGGTCAATGTCACTGAGGGCAAAAGGAAATTACAGTTAAAAATCTGACAAACAAAATAAAGCATGTTGTTTTTATTTAATCATAATTATGATAGCTTGCCTTGTTGGAAGGTAGAGTCCTGTGCTAAAGCTGCCAAATATTTGAACCTGGAAAAACAACATTGAAGATATATGATTACGACGACCAAAATCACTGTAGTTCTACTGTTAAAGACAACCAGTATATAGATGAGCTAAATAAGGGACATTTAGAGAAAATTATATAAACACTGACATTTCATAGTCTGTATCGCAACAGCTCATTTGTGGTGATGATGTACATGTCCAATTCAAATGTTTGCAAACTACTAGGTATTTCCGGTTTCCACTTCAGAGACGGTAAGTGCAGCCAAGTTGAGTGCGCTGCCAAATTAAGTATACAATAGCTACGGGGAAAAAATGCTGTGTTTTGGGGCTGCAAGCAAAAGCTCTCCAAAGGAAGCAGAGTGGAGTTCTTTCCCTTTCCGTCTGGTAAATACGACAAGGCAATAGCACAAAGACACGGCAGGATTAATAGGTTGAAATGAAAAGGGAGGCTGGTACAAATCAGAGGCTTGATCCATTTACCTGACAATCTGGCACATAGTGGAAGTGGGGAAGACTGGCAGCCAACAAATCACTGCTGCGTGTGTTTTACATGATTAAGTAATGAGGGGGACTACTCAACTAGCTGCAAGAGCCCCTCTCCCTTTTTCTGCACACACAAAGTGCAAATTCCTACAAATAACAATGAGCATTCTGTGTTTTAAAAATTAAACCACTTCTATTTACTTCTGCTTCATTTACTGCCAATCAAACATCATTATGAGAACTATTAAAGACGCCTTTGTAAGGTCTGAGCCATCCACATGACCTCAAGCAAAAGAACTGCAAACATTATAAATATAAAAGTTGTTATCTTGAACAAACTGCACTCCATTTAAAAGAAAAGTGTTGTCAAAACAAGGTATCTCTACAATAATTTATGAGCAATCTGAGATCACAGTTTGTCTGCATGCCAATAAGTCCTCCAGAGAGTGGACGATTTAGGAGCCTGCTCTCTAAGATATTATAATCTTAAAAGAGGGGTAAATTGATCCAAATAAACAGAAGTGTGTGCGTGTAACTTACATCTGCAGTGGGCCACAGCTCCTTAATAATCATCTCTATTCGGTTCACCACCTCCTTCCTCATAGCTGCCTCTTCTGGCCGGGGAGACATGAAGTTGTAGAAGTCCATCACCTCCTCGTGGAGTCTGCAGGGGGAAAGGAGGATGAAAGATATTAACACCCATACAACACACAGGCCAGTGTGAAATATGACTGTGGGTACTGTACTTGGTGTGAAACGTGACCTTTGATTTAATGTATTTCAAATTCCCTAATGCAAAAGTGAACCCAACTTACAGCCATGAGGACAGAATTGGCTTTCATTTTCAAGAAAAACAAACTCTTCAGATGGCCTAAGATAGGTTTCCTCCTTATTGCTGATCTTACGTATTGCATAGTTTCTGTTTCCCAAATTTCTGCTGAACTAAAGGCATCTTGTTTCTTTGGAAAAAAAAAGTACGCTTAGCAATACATTAATGACATTTTAAACCGAGAGATCCAACTTTAACATTTGCAAAAGCCTGACAGTCCCTGGTAAAACTATATCACTTCGCTTTCAAATACTGCATTTTAACTGCATCAACATGAATTTAGTTTTTAAATTTGATAAATCTAACCTTAACACCAGACTTAGCCTGATTCACGAGAGCAACCACTGGCCCAGAAATAAATCAGAACGTGAGTGGTCATAGTAAAGATGTAAGTGGACTAAAAAGAATTCTTCTGATCTTACTGTCAGTGAAGACAAAAACTACATACCGATACATCTGAGGTTCCAATGGGTAATGAGGGAAAAAAGTTCAGTGAAACGAAGGGCCATATCATTCTGAGTCTGAGAGTCCAGGCCTTATTGTTATAGCTGATATGGTTCTGTGCTTGGCAGCAGAGGGGGGGGGCAAGTTTAATGTAAAGATTACTAACCAGTCAAATGCCTCTGAACAGTGGAACTGTTCAACCCTATGGCTATTCATCTTTTTTTCAAAGAAAGCATGCAATGATGTCAGCGTGAATTACAGAACAGCGATACTGTCACAATCAATTACCAGATCCCTGGAGAAAATGCAGGGAGCCCATGTACCCACTCTTCCAGCAATCCAGACGGACCAGGGGGGGCGGCGATGCCAATTGTCCAACACTGACAGGGCCCCCCGAGAAGCTAGTTTAGAGTTGTCTCCCTTCAACAATTTTAGGCCCTGGTGCAACAGTAATCAATGGTGTTCACTGGTGCAGTATCTATAACCGCACCACCATGACAGCCATGTATCTTTACTGAAGAATCAATGTTTTTACTGCATCACACAGTGCATAGTCTCAGGTAGTCTCTACCTGAGACTATTAAAGTCACCCCTGAAGGCAAACCACTGCGAGACTAGACAGCGCACAAGCCTAAACTTACACAAGAAAACTTTTTAGAACCACATATACTGATTGAAAAAAAAAAACACTAAACGTAATTGATATTCAATTGATTTTCAATTACCAAACAAAACATTAACAAACAATCTAAAACTCCTGGTAAATTCGATGTAGGAGTAGAGAGGGAAACTTCAGCGTCAAGCACGTGGAGCTGCTGTCATGACAAACACCAAGTGTTTTTTCTAAGAGGGCACCAGTACTATAATAAAAGGTTATTATTGTGTTCATATTGATGATATTAGTTTGGTCAGGTTTTGCTATAGGTCACGTGGACGTTTAGCCCCACCCCTGTCTGTTGCGTCACACTGATGGGGTTGAATAACCTGGAAATTGAAGTGTTGATTGTGACTATGAGAAAAACTACATTCGTCCAGAACTGAACACAGTGGAGTAGATCAACTGTGCACGACCCAGATGGCTGATTAAAAATGGCTTGACTTCACTTTTTATACGATGACGTTTGGTGCAAAATGCTGAAACATTAAAGCATCGGCATTTCCTGACTGGAACTTTCTCACTGTAAACAGACTGATCACTGTGATGGAGACAGTTGTTAGTCGCTACATTAAGGGGTTGAACGAACAGCTCAATATTACATAATTTAGCCAAACACGTTAGCTTAAACCTGGGAACGATCGCAGCGTTCTATTTTAGTTTGCAGCTTAAACACTGCTTCATAATGCGGCTTGGTTTTGCTTCAGACTCAGGAATTCGTTGATGTTACTATAAAGCTGCAGGTTTCGTAACTTCACTGTGCAGCCGGGGGGGAGGGAGGGGAGACCGTTAGCTAAGTTAGCAAGCTCCTCCTCCATTAAGCTTTATCCAAAAGCAACATATCCGGTGGAAACCTTCTAAATAAATCACCCCCTGAACCACACACGGCCCGGTGAAATCAGACTGCGACTGAAACAAAACTTCTCTAACCTCGTGTTTTCTCACAGCACTTCTCGACACTTTGTTCAAATCCCATTTGTAACGGCTCGTTTTCAAACTTCAAAAAGACACCCAAAAAAAATCAAAGCACTTCCGGTCTGGCTTCGGCCCTTCATCATCTGTGACTCTGACAAACCAGCTCATCATGTCGTCTGCGCCATCATATTCAACCCACACGCAGCTGATCTGTGTGTTTCAGCCATTTAAAAACCTGTAGCCGTTAGCAACGTTAGCTCCTGTAGGGGGGGAGAGTTGAGCCACTCACCCGAGGACCCCGGGGTTGTACGTCCTCGTCTTCCACGGCGTCCAATTGCTCGCGTAATTCCCGTTGGTGCAGTTCGAGAGCAGGTAGTTCATCCCATAAGTGCTCGCCTTGTTGTCGCTTTTCCTCCGGCCCGGGTGGTGGGGATTGTGTGTGTGGTTCCCAGGTGCGGAGGGGTGAACCTGGTGACGCTTCACGCAGACCTGCTGGGGGCTGAACGCCGGGTGCTCCTGTAGGTGACGGTGGTGGTGATGATGATGGTGGTGGTGGTACAGGTTGACATTATGGTCCATGCTGTCGCTCAAGCTGAAGAGCAGGTTGGCACCCCCGACGTTTTTGTTCACGTTGCCCGATACATTCCCACCCATAGTCCTCTCGAGCGAGCAGCCGGAGGGGGGGCTGTCCGTGCCTGATTCCTGCGATGATGATGAAGAAGAGGAGGACGAGGAGGAGACGGACCCCAGGGGCCGGGGTTTGCCGTCACCCGGTTCCGCGGCGGTGTGTGCGTTCCCGTTGGACAGTGCCGCGACCCCCAGCGCGGAAATCGCAGCACCGCTCATGATGCCGCTGCGATGGCCGCTGCTCCGGCCGGCAGTTACGCTACCGCCGCCGCTGCAGACGCTCCTGCCCGCTGCCACCGCGGTCGCCACATTCTTTAAAACATCCAGCGCAGCGTAGTTCACGCGCTGGTTGTGGAGCTGCTGCTGAGCGGAGAGCGTCCGTGCTCCCTGAGAGGTCTCCCAGACGTGCATCCATAAGGCGTTCGCAGGTCCTTTCTGTTCGGGCTGAATCCAAGCTACCCTCGGATCCATTCAACTCCCCTCTCTGGTAACCCCCCTCTGCTGGTGTCGAACCGGAGCCCGTCGTGAATCCGCGTCGCTCCCTGGGCCCGTCGAAAGGTCGCTGCTCTGTCCGGGGTTACGCGCGGAGAAGTGTTTAGACGTGAAACCGAATCGGCACCATTGGTAAAGTGGCCCCCTTTACGCCGCTAGCTGGAGAAAAAAAATCGCTAGCTGAATCCCTACGAGAATTCAATATGGCGTATTCTCTTCAAATCCATGCGCATGCGCACTGCGAGCGGTTAGTTTAAATGACTGCGCCCCCCCATCCGCCCACTTCTCCGTCGCTGCGATGAGTGATGAATTACACTGAATAGATATTGGACCCCCCCACCCCCAGATGCTAGATATTTAATTGAACAACAGATGGAATACACGTCAATAATGTATAAAAGGGATCCGTGGCTCTGGGAACCCACGAGTCCTTGTCTTCCTCCACCACACCCCGGCCACCATGGGTGCATGAGGGGGTATCCCCATCAAAATGAGGCCGGACCGTGGCTGCACCCTGGAGGGATGGCATACACTCACACATAAGCATCACAGAGCTGTCTGGAGATATTGGCACATATTCAAAGCTAAATTAGAAAATCTAATTCTAACTATGCCTGCCTGCTGCTGTAACAACTGGATTTATGTGTTATCTCATCTTATCTTGCTTGGCCTGTGGTAATGCTCCGGGCTCCACCTCACAATTATTCCTTGTCATTAGTGAGTTCCCCTCAAACAGGTCTACAATCTACTGTCACTTTTTTTTTTATTGTTTGTGTGCTCTGGGCAAAGCTGAGGATTTGGGGGGCATTAATATTCTGGGACTCTATGTATGGATCTGTGTGTAATCCAGTTGTGGACACACAGCTTCACGAGCCTCTGTTTGGTAAAACTCAAACACCTGAAATCCTTGATAAAGAGAAAACAGAATATCACGACTCTTCATCGAATACAATTTTCATAAACATTGAACAGAGAGGGAGAGCACATTGTGCTGTCTGCTGGTGTCTGGGATACTGCTGGGGGCCATGATAACCACAACCTCTGGCCCTTGAAATGCTGCTCACATAAACACCAGAGAATACTGCATGCTGCATTACAGAGGGTAACACGCCAAGTCTTTTGTAGAAGCATAAATAGAATGCCGCCTTCTTCTGGTTATTACGAGAGATGTACGCTGCGGCCACTGCATCCAAATGTGCATTTTCAGAAGGCAGTACACAGCAGGCTGTGTTGATCATTCCAGCCTCTACATGACACCCAGCCCCCATTAAACTCTATGATAGAGCAGACAGCGGAGGCAGGCTGGATAAGGCATAACCAGCACCTTCCTGGATGTGTATGAGTGCAAAAGAATGAGGGAGGGAGGGTGAGAGAGTGAGGAAGGGAGGTTCTTGCATGCCAGCCTCCTACCCCTGCTGCTCACGTGCAGCATGTGACAGAGTCAAGGAAAACCCCCCCAGAGCAAACCCAGCTATGTGTCAGTTAGGATATGTAGCACTGTGCATAACACACTGAGGCATATGCACAGCTGCTCACTCCCACTGTACGCCTATAGAGATCCGAAGCTCTTCCCTTCCATCTCCATCTTACATTGTATCAAACACGGGGGGGTTGAGTGACACACGAGTATGAGTTAGATATTCCTCTCTCCTCTCACAGCTCAAGCCAAAAGCACACACTGACTGTGTGCCAGCCAAGTGTGTGTGTGTGATTTCAAGGCTGGTTTGCCTCATTGTCAGCTTTTATGGGATTACCACATTGGTGATGACTGGACCATGGCTGACGGATGCCTAACACACACAGACACACACACACACACACACACACACACACACACACACACACACACACACACACACACACACACACACACNACACACACACACACACAGAGCTGGAGAACATTATGCTCACAGGCATAACAGTATAGGAGATAATATTAAAGCTGCATGCAGTTGTCTGAGGCTGCATGTGGCTTGAATCGCAATGAGATCGAAGCATTTACCAACATGAGTAGAAAACTGTATTTACACAGTTATATCAACAGCTATTATATCAACTTGAATGAAAAATCCCCCGCAGTGTTGAGGCCCCACTGTGGGGTTACATACAGTTTACTGACACAGCCATAATCAAGTGAATATGATTTGGCTGCAGAGCAGCGCCTCCTGCAGGTTCAGAACAGCAGAGCTACCTGGCTGCCACACCTACAGGCAAGGTCAGTTTAGACCCAACGATACAGACATGCTAATGTTTGCCCTCTACAGGGAAGGTAAAAAACAGATTCTCTATCTGTCACACTTGTGCCACCTACAGGTAATGAGTGTATTAACTGTATTTATTTATTTGACAGATGCTATTTGTGTTTGAGGCTTTGCATTTATTTTGAATGCACTTTTAAACGTGTGTTAACTACCTTTCCTGGATGTTATGAAAAATGAATGATAACCTACCTCGCTCTTGCAAAACCTAGCATTTTGTGTATTTCTGAGCAATCATGTAACATTAGGCATTAAAAACAAACAATAACAGCAGCTGTGACTTTCTGTCTGAGGGTGTCAACTGTTTTTAAATTTTAAAAAAAGCTATGCCTATCGTTGCCTGTAGGAGGCGACACTGCAGACTTTTCTTTCCTTTCCGACTCTTCTTTCCTTTATATGCCACCGGCTGACATGTGTATATTGACTATTACAGAACAGCTCCCCTTGTGGAGCATCTGCTGCCTGCATGAATAAACATGCCAGTAAAGAGAGTTATTAGCCATTACATGGAGTCACTTTGCATATAGAAAGAAAATCTGTCGGTGTCTGCCTAAAAGGAATTAAAATCAGATGGTTGCCTCAGTAAACACTGGGCTTGTTGTATATAGTTATGCAATTACAGGAAGCGTGGATAAAGAAGATACACACAGGAAATCGCCTGGAAGAGAGAAAAAGAGAGAAAAAGAGAGAGAGTCTTCTACATGAAGGATGTCACTCTGCATAGCCTTCAGCGACACACAGCTTTAGCGCTTCATCAGACTCACAGTGGTCCTTTTATTTATTGATGACACCATGTCTAAAAACGATGACAAAACACTTTTATTTTCAATGCATTTTTAAAATTCATTCTGATATGACCTTGGCCGTGACTGGTGTTGGAAATATCTTCTCCACTGGGAGAGAGAGGGCTGATGAGTTATAAGAAACTGCAGCCGGCACTTTTTGAAACAGGTATACAAAGGAAAGCTTGAACCAGCTTATAAACCACTATATACATATAGACTGTGACCAAGGCAAAGCAAAAATCGCACTTGTTTCCAAACTAAACCTAGTTTAAAAAACACTAGAGATTAAGACGGGTCATTTTATTTGATCCTACGAAATAAGACATGATATAAGAAAAGTCCTAACTCACACTGACAGATTATTTGTCTCATTCTAAATATGATTATGAAACAGCATTAGACCATAAGGGATGTTATGATCAATATAACAAATTTGTCATCTATTCCCCCAGTCTCCTTCTTTTCAGCCAGTCACACAACCTCATCAAATCAGTGTAATTTATCCATGCGACGGGCTCCTGTTTTCACATTCTCCCCAAATACTTTCCCCGTTCATTTCTTTGTCCACTCTTCTTTCTTTCTGAGAAGCCAATCTCTTCTTCTCATTTCAGGCATGGGTGAGTTATTGAGGGCTGTGCTTGATCTCTCTTTGATTTCCTTGCAGCCCAGTAGATGGGGACAGGTCGGTCTTTTCATTTTGTTACTGAGTGGCTTCTTAATCAGGAGTTACAGACGATGCGGTAAAGAGGAAAAGTCTCCCTGAACGAGGAGGGAGAACACGTTGGAGTTGACTCAAGCTCCTGTTTGTATCTATTTAATATGAACAGATGTGAAGAAGATAGTTCAGCAGCAGATGACTCTTGAGGATAAACGAAAACTTGAAATGTCTGCTTTACATTTCCTAGTTTATGTTCCATCTGGGAGAATATGCAGATCAGCGGCGAAGTCTTAAAACTCTTTACTGCTGGTGCAGTGTGTCATAAATCCATTGTATTGCTGTTGAGCTAAGGCGTTTCAATCACCATCTCATTTCCTCTGAAGGAGCGCTCCCCTGCAAGCACAACACTTCCAGTACATTCAGTTCACGGTTGCTGAAAGCTTCTTGTGCTTTGTGGACATTATTGCCAAACTAATGGCAACAATAAAGATCATAATGAGACGATGGTGTTTAACTGTCACTTGCTTGCGGGTCGGATGAGATCATTTACAGGCATGCAACCTGATTCAATACGTTCTCAATGAAAAAAAAAAAAAAACAGATCTTCAAGGTTTATTCCGACATCAGAGCTTTCCTTAATCAGAAGAAATATGGGATAACATTAGGCAAGCTTCAAAAAATAAACACCTGTCCTTAGACATCCCATGTAACTTGCTTTCTAGTTACTTGCTTTCTGTCAGTGAGGGATAAGAAGCATTCTGGTTTCCGTTTCTAGTTTGACCAATCACGTTTGAGCATGATTATGCTGCCTGCAGGTAAACATGTGGTGAGCTAAAGAGGTGGAACACATTGACTGAAATGCATCTATCAGGTTTTTAATTTATCGCTTCCAAAACCTAAAACACCAACAAAAAGTATACATTTTAGTGTTTTGTGTGGAGACATTTGACCCGTGTGATAAAAGAAACTGTAGTCGGACTGTAAACAGTGTACACAAACAAAAGACTGAGTCGGCCCAGATATCTGCTGTCTACACTGACAGAGGCTAATTCACCAGCAGATGATAGCCAATGGGCCTCAACACTGCAGCATAACTCTACATGTCAAGTATATATGGATATTGATATGTTGCCATGAATACAACTTGCTTGTATGTATATGATATATATGCACGTTATACCAATAATTAATTGACCTGGTCTGTGTCTGCATATACAAGTAATATTCCTCTCAGTCGCAGTAAGCAAATATGGTACCTCTTCCAGCTTCCAGTGCAGAAAGTGCTTCTTAGAACAGGAATGGAATCAAAGCCTTCCTGCTTTTGGGGTAGTTCTCAAACTTAGTAAGGTACCACCTGCAGAGAGACAGAGGGGAAACACGATTTCTTCCATTAGCACAAATGCTTGCTTCTAAATGTGCCATTCACTCCATGCAAACCTGCTTACTGTGTGTTATTCTTACTTGTGGTGGGCCACAGCCCTGCTGGAGAGGACCACCGCGGTGAAGATGGCGAAGGACGCACTTTGAACTGAGTGACCAGCCAGAGCAAAGCCTGCCCACTCAATTATCTCTCCTAAGAAGTTGGCTCCTGATACATATTTGAACATCCCACCTGTATGTAGAAGACACAGCAGTGAGGACAGAACCCTTTACATGTTAACATCACTCACTCTGGGAGAAAAGTCAAATTTGATGTATTTTCACCCACTGCAATTCAACACGTGACTGAATGAGCACTGACATTTCTAATCCAGTATAAATGCTGCAAAAAAATTCAAAGGCCTCCACACAGTTCAATCCACATCGCTTGAGCATTCATGGTTAGACTGCAGGCCACGTGCACAGTGGGGCTGCGACCCTCTATGTGAAAATGGCAAATTCCTTGGATAGCAGATTCCAGGCGTGCCGGGAAGTTCATTTAGAGCCACACAGCTCACAGCTTCCTGCCGCCTCGCCTTCTCCACTTTATTTTCCTTAAGGGTCCTGGATGGATTGTTTCAACAGGTTCACCACAAGTTCAAGCTGAAGGTGCTATTGTTATGACTGTGTTCTTACTTAAAGAAGCCACTGTCTCTGTGAACCTGTTATGATTACTGATTCACTTAGCAAAGGGAAAAGTCCAAATTGTGGTTTGAATTATCAACATGTGATCTAAAAACGCAGGAATGGGCACTTCATGTTTCTTTTCATTCCACCCTGCAGGCTACTTGTCCAAAAGAATTTGGAGTTGGGCCAAAATCTTGTTTACCCAACCCCCTCCTTTCGTGTCACATCTCACTGAATGTGCATCCATTTTCAAACAGTAAAAGGTCACACGCTGTAAAAAAAGGTCCACAAGTGAAGCATTCTTTAATCTGTTTAGTCTTAGTGTCATGACTGGAAATATGAGAAACCCTGACAACTTCAAACTGTGAACAGTTTTCAATATAAATCAACAAATAATTCTTAAAAAACATCATTTGGCAAATGGAAAAAGGAACAATGTGACATTTTGCTTGCTTGAAGGCAACCCATTTCCTTCTACCAGCAGCAAACCTTCAGCAAGAGAGAAAAAGCATGTATATCCAAACATGCTGAACTAGTCCTTTATCAGTACAAAAGTATTTAACACTAACACACAGAAGTAATATTTAGCACTAATCTTGTACAGACATATAATGTTGATGTTCTAGTGTAGGCCTGCCTCACTGTCAAACATGATTACTATCAACACTGTGTGGTTTTGACGTTTTCTGTGTCCGTGTCAACTACAGCAAAACTACACAACATCACAAGTGTTGTGACTCATCCACACACGAGCTGAACTGGACCGAATGAGAGTCAATGCAGCAAGAACCTTTTCATCCACCAATATAAATGTTCACAGAGAGGAGAAGATAACTAGGGACAACCTGTGATTAAGCCAACAGTATGAAGCTGTATAATCATGTGACCACACTGGGAAATTAGCATCTAGCACTGTGTGACGACTGCATTGTTGACTTGTTACCACACAGCAGCGGCGGAAAAAGTAGACCTAAGCAGAGTGAACTGTGCTTTTAAAATGTTAAGTGAATCTCATCTACCTGCTAATTGCACAGTCTGGATCTTGGTATGCAACAACATTCATACAATCACTTCTCAAGCAACTTTTAATTAGATGCTGTAAAACTTCAAGTTGAGCTGAATTGCAGAGCTTTCTTTTTTTTTTTTTTAAGCAGTGAACTTGGGTCTGAATCTGAAGATTGTGTTACTTGCTTAACAAACCTCTGACATGAAATAAAAAAAAAATAGAAGTTGATTAAATCATTCAAACTTATATAAAAGTCACTAAACAATTATAAGGTGCAGACATGTCAAGTATGAAGTTTCTGAGATGTAAAGTAATAGAGGGACATAAGGCTCTGCTGTGGTGAGAGAACACAATTGTTCCTGTGTTTTGATGACTGAAGACCTTACCTGTGGGAATCTTGTAGCCGGTCTCTCCGGGCTTTCTCAGGTTCCTCAGGATGTGGTCAGAGTGCACATTCACAAGATAGCCGACCAACCACAGCACAGACCCTGGAGATAAACCAAACACAAGCTGCTGTAGCAGAAGATTTTGAGCAACAACAGCCAGATGGCCGAGCTGTTATTTATTTTAAAAGTTACGGCATCTATTCACAATTATCAGTGAGCAATTATCCGATGTGTTGCTGCTGCGACCTGCAGTACCCTAAAGACCCATAAAACATATGTTGCCAACCATATTCTTCCATTTTGAATCCAATCCAATGACAGCTGTGAGGTTGGCTGCTTATGTAGCCAGGCCTCTGTCAATCACATCTGGTGAAAACACACCCACACAGCCCTCATGAAGGAGACTTACACGTTTAGTTTATGAGCTCAGTAATTAACGCAAAAATAATGTACTTCTAAAAACTGCATATTTAGTCATAAATGTGTAGCACAGAGATAAACTTTGAAAACATTGAAGAACCAGTCTGTCATGGAGTTTTCCTTTCCACACCATATGTTTCAGTAAACACTCAGTTTGGTTATTTGGTGCTGTTGTAGCTTACCATGGCTTTAAATACAAAAGTATCATGAGAATCCCTCACATTCACTGTTATGAATGCAACAGTATTTTTTATTAAGTTGGACATATTAACACTGTCCTTCAGACACTGTGTTGGCTCCTTCTGACATGTTTTTCCTGCTAGTGTCAGATGGGCTCCAGACCTGTGAATTGCCAGCAACACCTCAACCAAAATGGTAATTCTGTTATTATAATGGTGTCAGTGAGAAATTAAAGATGATACGGAATACTACTACAATATATTTGGCTTATTGTTACATTTCCAATTTACATGAAATGCCCTCAATTATACTGTGTTTAGGGTTTAGTGGTTTCTACTGGTGAGTTTGCAGATTGCAACCAATGGGAGACCCCTCCTCTGATCCTCTTCTACAAACTGCATAGAAGAACCTACAGAAGTGTTTGAGTCCACAAAACACTTCTGGAGTCTCAGAGGTAAACAGCGTTTAACACAACTCAAACTTTACCCACCCCTCCATCAGCATAGTGATGAGTGGATAATGAGTGAATTTTCTTTTTTTTTTAAGGCGAACTATCCCTTTAAGTGTCAGGTTTGCCCATTCTGTGCTTCTGTATGCTTGAAAGAGGTTTGATTTATTCAATGCATACATTTCAAATTTTATTTATAAGTGAAACTTCATTTATTCAAATCACTTATTGGATTGTTTTTTTACATCAGCTCAACATGATAGAAACCTCCTCATTATTTCAGACCTCATTAGTTGAAGTTTTGTAATTAGGTTGCATTAGAATTGTGTACATGATTTAAAAACATAAAGTTAGAATTCAGGCAAAAAAGAATTGTGAGTGTACAAACACTGACATCTTGCAGTTTTGATGTATGTTGCAGCCAGTGTCATGGTGTGGGGTAATACAATTATAAGTATATTTGATTTCCCTTAATCCTACACACTGGCCTTTAAAGTCAACAATGTATATACAGAGGAAGACTCCACAATACCTGTACCTACAATACATATATTGGGAATCTCACAAAGGGAGAAAAGAGAAATGATATGTTGAAAATTAATCAAATCAAGTTTTATTTTCTATTTTATTTTATTTTACACTGTTCATTCTGCTCTGTTGCTACACTACTCATTTACAGGGACTGTGAGACAACATATTTTAAATCGACAGTTTCCTGAGTCAGCCTGAGCAGCAAGGTGAGCCAAAAACAACAGCTGGGTACTTTCAGGTTTGAAAAGTGTGAGAAGCACCTGCAGTGGAGCAAAAGCCAAGAGAGGGAAAAGACAAGGTAGCCAAATTCCTTTGAATGAGCACTTTTTTTTTCTCCAACATCTAAATATTAACGAATACTGAATGAGAAGAAGTGTAGGGATAGATAAGAGGGGTGGAATGGATGAACTAGTGAGAGGAGCCTGTTATTTTTCCTTTAAACTATCACCACAGATTATATTTAGTCCTGTTTTATATGTTATTGATTATCTTTAACTGACTTGTGCATTAAGTAGTTTATAACGACAATACAATACAACTATAATAACTGCCCTTGAGCAAGGCACCGAACCCCCCAATTGCTCCCCGGGTGCCTCCATGGCTGCCCACTGTTCCGTGTGTGGTCACTGTGTGGATTGTGTTCCGTGTGTTCTGTGTGTGCTCCGTTCACACGGATGGGTTAAATACAGAGGTCAAATTTCCCCATGTTTGCATGTTGCATGCTGTGTGTGGGACCAAAAATAGGAATCTTAATCTTAATAATTTAAGAATTTTTGTTGATTTAATTTGCACATTCTTCTTCTTCTAAAGTACCACTTTCAAATTTTCACACACCAATCCAGTTTATTTTTCCTTATCAAATATGTTGAAGTCTACATATTATGCTAGCATATTATATCCAGCTAAATAAAATTAATTCAATACATTTGGTTTTTGATCTCTCCTTTAAAGTCCTTATGCTAATGTTACACAAATCTGTTTCGATACTCAAAATATATGTTTTGCAAGGATGCTGGGAGTAGAGAGCTACTGAGGGGGATGTAGAAAGTTTTAATAGCATAACATATAAATCCATTTGATTACATTTTCCTCCTCACTGTGCTTACAAATTGCAAGAGTATTATATCAAGATATAAATATATATATATATATATATTTGTATGTATATTTATAACTTTTGTTATATTGCTATTGATAAAAACTATATTGCTATAATTATTGATTTTGCTTTTCACAGTTAATATGATGTAATTATACAGACTTTCCCCTAGCACCCTCAACTCTGACTGACTTCCAGCATCCCTTGTGTTGTGAGTGTTTAGTCCAAACCCAATTTATGCCACACTGACAAAGATGGCCAACACAATTTGGATAACCCTCTTCTTTATCCCTCATTATCTTCCTGTCACAGAGAAGCTCTAGTGCATATCAATCAATAAAAACAACCTTGTAGAAAGTGTAGCAGCAGCCACAGAACACCTACCAGTGATGAAGCATGGATGTGTAACCCAGTATGCAGGGTACTCAGCGTAATGGCTAAGGTACCTGATCTGCATGTAGCCATTATAGACGCAGAAAACAAAGGCCAGGGCAAATGAGACAAACGGTGTCGCTTTACCTCCTCGGATTAAAAATGGATAAATGAGAGACCTGCAGCAGAACAAAAACGTGGATTAGTTACCTGCTACAAACGATAGTTTAAAATGCAATGCACGCTTTGATATACTTCTCTCCTACTGAGCCTTCATTAATAGATAGATAAAGAAAAAAAGCAGAGAGACACGGGGTGACTGCACGAGAATGTATTTAGGCATAAGTATAGGAGATGTTAAGAGATGTATACATACACTGTTACAAGTTTATAGGCTGGTATGGCATACAAAATTAACTAGGTGCTATATATGTATATATAAATGGGTATAAATTCACAGCAGAATAATATATAGTAGTGAGAAAGTATAACTACATAAACATGTATTTGCAATAGTATACAATATGATATATATATATATATATAAACATACATATAACTAGGTGAATTACAAAATAAGAGGCATACATGTACAAGTATAAGTACAGAGGATACTGGTGCAAGATGATTTTCAATTAAACAATCCAACCTGCGGAAGACAACACACCCGCTGCACGGTGCATGCTGCAGGTGGACATTTCTACAGGTGTGAAGGCTCCACGTGTAAAGTTTTGAGCACCCACCTCTGGATGTAGTGGCAGATATACATGGCGATGAGCAGCAGGTTGGGCACCAGGTACATTTTGGCGGAGGACGTCCACAGCAGCAGACACAGAGGCACCAGGAGCGCAGGCAGCTCCTGCACGAACCAGGCGAACCGGACGTCCACCGGGAACCCGTACCTGCTGCTGGCGTAGCGACCGTAGGGGACGTTCTCGAAGAGCAGCGTGATGAAAGTGCAGGCGGCCATGAAGAGCGTGAGGTGAGCCAACCGGTCCAACGTGTGCAGCTCCTGCTCCTCCGAGGAGAAGAGCCCGGAGAGGAGAGCGTCCATGGCGCGAGGAGGAGGGGTTCACGCAGGAGACACGGGACTGAAGGGGTGTTAGCGTCAATATTCGCTACGATGATCTAACAAAGACAGTCAGTAGTTACTGACAGAGTACTGACAGCTCGTCTTCTTCGTTTGTTTTTAAAGGGGGTTGGCCACCTGCGTCATAGGCGCATTACCGCCCCCTTCTGCTCCGGAGTGTGGAGCAGGGATCAGATTCTACCTGGTCTAATAAAGACAACACAGATTCATTCATGGCTTCATGCCGAGCTCCTGACTTCCTCCGAGCGTCCTCCATCCCTCATCTTTCTTGTTTCATTCTTTTCTTCACACACACGCGACTGACAATATGTTTCCCTAACATGAGCACTCGACCAATCACAACCGCTGAACAGACGTGTGATGGAATCGTATCAGCCAATCAGAAAGCTAGCCCTGGTGTCACGATCGAACAATTTGCATGAATGAATAATAAATCAATAAACGATGAACTTAGTGGCTCCACTCTTGATTCTTGTTGGTAAGTATCCTCCTTTATTTGAATGATAATGGAAATCTGACGATATTATTAAAAAAACATGTACATGTTTCGTTGAGAAGACAATACTTACATATCATAAGAAATTAAAAATAGTAATCAGGTTTTTTTTCTCGTGTGATAAGATTTCAGAAATCGCCCTGAGCTTATATATATAAATACCTCATATACGCAGACTATATAACATAACTTATACACGCAGATATATTTCATTTTCTTTTCAGGCACAGTCCGCGGCCACCTGGAGGGGTCCTGGTTCACGTGCGTCACAGACAACACGTTTCGATGATAACACAGTAGCTCAGCGGCTCTTCCTCTCGCAAGCTTCGCTATCTACCCGAGTCGCTGGCCACATTTTCCTGCGTCCAGCCACCACGTTGCTCCGCAGTCTTTTCTCCAGAGTTGTCTGTTTTTCCAGGATGGGGAAGAGAAGCAGACAGCGGCAGAAGAACCAGGCCACCGGCGGCAGGGACAGCAGGGACAACGCTGTAAGACTCACTCTCCTGCTGCTGCACCTCCATGCTACTGTTGCGTTGCTCTGTCAGGCCACATGTTATTTAGATGTAAACAGCCTTCAAATGAATGGAGACAAGGTGTAAACATAACTTTGTTCTTGTGCTGCCGTGGCGCTGTTAGCCAGATGTGACTGAATTAAGTAGTTTTGTTATTTACCACAGGCCGAATTGATGATCAGACCATAATAAAATGTACCAAACACTATGACCTGCCCTATTATCTATGATGCAGAGACCATAAGCAGGAAAAAGTGTAATTGACTGATTTTTGATTGACATTTAATGAACGTTTTTTTCTTCTTGCCTATGATTGCATTCGTATTTACTAGTTTCTTTTCAGAGGATTCTGCAAAGCTATTCAAACAGTTTGTTCACACTCAATCAAAAGTAAATCGAGTACATCAGTTGAGTTTATCACGGTATCGTTGCATATCACTGCATTTTCTAAAAACCAGATTCACCTCATAAACTTAGTACATATGGCTCATGCTGCATTGAACCAACCTGAACACTTGACACCAAACCATATAATTCTCTCTCAGCTAGCACAGGTTTTGCATACCCTGTTGCTATGCCCATACTTATCCTAATGGCCATGCGTCCATGTTATCAGGGCTGGGGAGCTGGCTACGCGGACATCGTCAAGGAGAACAAGCTTTTCGAGCACTACTACAAGGAGCAAGGCCTGGTGCCAGAGGGAGAGTTACAACAGTTCATGGAGGCAATGAGGGAACCACTGCCAGCAACCATCCGCATCACTGGGTACAAGAGGTCAGCTGGAAATACTCTAATCTGGATTCATACCCTTTTCTTATTGTGGTCTGACTCACGATAAGAAAAGCCTCACATTAAAGAGTAAGGCCCTGTTTCATTCTCTGTCTGCTTTGTTCCAGCCATGCCAAGGAGATCCTCCACTGCCTGAAGGAAAAATACTTCAAGGATATTCAGGAGCTGGAGATTGATGGCCAGAAGATCGAGGCTCCACAGCCTCTGAGCTGGTACGATCTCGAATGGTTTACTCAGAGCTAAAAGGTAACACAGGTTCAAAATAGAATCCCAGTACTCACTGTGCCTGTCTCCTCCAGGTATCCCGATGAGCAGGCCTGGCACACTAACATGAGCAGGAAGAGCATAAGGAAATCACCCCTGCTGGAGAAGTTCCACCAGTTTCTAGTCAGCGAAACAGAGTCGGTGAGCGTAACACAAACCTAACACCAGAAATACTCGTGACATAATATAAGATTCCCTGGATAAGGTGTTTAAACAAATAACAGAATTCATCAGGGACCTGATATTAACATCCGCCCTGACAGAGCCATGGTATGGAAATGTCAAAATCTTTTAAACTAGCAGGTCAGAGGATGTCAGCGGAGTAGGTGGATGCATTTGTCTTAACTCCACTGAAAGAATGTGGCCACATCTGTCTCTTAGTTTTGAGTAATCGGATCTTAGAACACATTTGAATGCGTTAAGTTGAGAATTTGGTTTTTGTCCTTGCAGGGTAACATCAGCCGACAGGAGGCTGTCAGCATGATCCCTCCTCTGCTTATGAAGATCGAGCCTCACCACAAGGTAAAAGCTGCGTCCTGTTTGAAGGTTGAATCTGTCAGCACTTGATGTGTTTTCTGTTTTTGTTTGCTTCCTTTGGACCGTGAGAAACAGCTGTGCTTTAATAAAAAAAAACATGTTTGCGTGCAGATCCTGGACATGTGTGCAGCTCCAGGGTCAAAAACCGCCCAGCTGATTGAGATGCTCCATGCTGACATGGATGTGCCATTTCCAGGTAAGAAGCACGCGTTTGATCAGGACAAATGGTATAATCACTGTCACACAGGCTTTTTACAGTTTTACACTTCACGTCTGTAATTAGTGAAATCAATCAATACCCACGTGTCAGGCGCAGAGTAACACATACTCAGTGCAGCTTATATTAACAGAATCATGTTTTAGTCAGGCTGGGAAAAAACCCTGAAAAGCTTACCGTCTCAGGCTTGGACGGGCTCAGACAGAACAATGCGACCAGAGCGGCTCTATATTGCATAATAATGTAGTCTGCTCCGTGTGGGATGATAAAAGAGTAAATGGAGTTTCCTGTCCTGTGATCGCCTCTGTGTCCCCGTCGGACATTCCACTCATCTCTTTAACCAAAGATTTTTGATGCTGTAATTGCTCTGTTGGGCTGCTCTCTTTTTACCAAGCACCTCTCATGAAGGCAGCAGCGATTTGGTTTTACTTTTTGAAATAATTTGTCTGTTAAGTTTTGCACAGTCTAAATCTCAATATCTTTCCATGTACAATCATGTTTACATTGTATATATTATTGATATTTTGTTCTGTACATGTTAGTACATGTTCTTATGTTTATATTTCATGTTTAATTTAATTTTTCTTTTTAAAACTGTTGTATTAAGTATTTCCATTGTGCCCCTGCAAAATCTTTCTGTAAATCTCATCTGCACGTCCGCCTTTCAGAGGGCTTTGTAATTGCCAATGACGTGGACAACAAGCGCTGCTACCTGCTGGTGCACCAGGCCAAGCGTCTCAACAGCCCCTGCATCATGGTGGTCAACCACGACGCCTCCTGCATCCCCACGCTGCAGATCCTATCAGACGGCAAGAAGGACATCCTCTTCTACGACCGCATTCTGTGTGACGTGCCCTGTAGGTCAGTAACTGGCCGCAGCACGTGTCTGTGCTGTTGGGTATTATGTGGCGGGGGAGTGGATAAAGAAAGAAATATGTTTGCTAAGCTCTACCCGATGCGTGTGTATGTGAGACAGATGGTATGGGATTTGGTGTCATACATGCATCCACATCATGAATGGAGGTACTTCTTCACTAGTTCTGAACACTTCATTTTGTGGTTGAAACGGAGCTGCATTAGTTTGTAAATGCTGCCTGATCATGGCCAGCTGCAGCGCTGAAGCCACGAGTCCCTGCCAAACACAACAGAGAGAGAGAGGGGGAAAGCGGTAATGAAGACAGGCAGGCAGGCAGGCAGCAGGGATTTGGGCAGTCAGCTCAAGCCCAGCATTGAGACAGTTTGTGCTTCATAGCCATTTTTTCCCCCCTGTGAGAAGTGTTGGGGATCTCTGGTGGTTCCATCCCCGGGTCAAAGTGAGGAATGACTGAGTGGTGCTGTGTGCTCTGTGTCTGCAGCGGGGATGGCACCATGAGGAAGAACATAGACGTGTGGAAGAAATGGACGACCAGCAACAGCCTGCACCTCCACGGGTGAGTGGGAAGAGCGAGTGCTCACATTTTTGTGACACCATAGGAATTTGTGCACTTGTGTGGTGGCCAAAATTGACTCGACAACAAGGGAATGGAGTGTGTTCTTTGGTCCTAATTAGAAAAGTTGGCTACATTAGTGTGTGTGTGTGTGTTCACCAGGCTCCAGCTGCGGATTGCAGTGCGCGGGGTTGAACAGCTGGCTGTGGGAGGGAGGATGGTCTACTCCACCTGTTCACTCAACCCCATAGAGGACGAAGCTATCATAGCAGCACTGCTGGAAAAGAGCGAAGGTAACAAATGCACGCAGAGTATACAACCAAAGTTATATTTGTTCCACTCATTTTTTCATCCAGTTTGGTTTTCTCTTTTCCTTGTTACTAAAACGCTCCTTCACGGACATGAAGTTGATCTTGATGAGGCTGATACAAACTTCCACATTTACATATGACCTCAAAAGGCCACATCCACTGCACGCATCAGATTAAACAAGATGATTCTTTCTGCAACGTCACCAACCAACTCAACTCACTACAGCTTTCTATAACTGTTTTCAGACAAATCAGGTTCATTTCGTTAAAGGTTCAGTTGGACCACGGAAATCTTGCATAAAATAATAGTGCAACTGAAAATGAACCTGTGTACTGTGTTGATTGGTTCACATTTTGAACGGCCACATTCATATAACCTCTCCTCTCATATAATATAGTTATATTTGAATGTTCTCATTAGAAAACACAAATACCCACCCTGGACATTCTAAAATTGTATTTTGCCATCACAAACATTTCCTTCACTTCTAAAAGGCTAAATATTCCACAACATGTGATTATGAGAATTTTATTTAAATATAACCTCACGTGCAGCCAAGTTGTAACGGCTCCTCTCGTCTACATTGCCAGGAGCGTTGGAGCTCGCTGACAGCTCTGCCGACCTGCCAGGGCTGAAGTGGATGCCCGGTGTCACTTCCTGGAAGGTACTGGAATGTTTTGGTCTTTGGAGTTCATTACAACAAA